GACTGCATATAGAAGTATCCTATAATAACAAAATCATTTTGTCTTTTTTTATGTCATTTTTTTCTTAGGACTGAAGTTCGTGTTTTTTTATTTTGTATTTTATATTCAAGGGTTTTTCGTATTAAACAGATGTATATATATATAGTACTCGACCTGTACTATACAGGCATATAATCAAATTAAATTAATGTTGTGTAGTTTTAATGCACGACTCAAAACAAAAAAGTGGTGCGAGACTTTTGACTTTGCACGATATAGCACAGCATAGGCTTTTAGCAACAAAACCGTAATGAAATCAAAGTATCTAATTCGTTTAGATGTTGTAAACTGATCGCTGATATGGTTGATAATATTATAATTTTAGGTGCACAGTAATCCATTATGTTTTCTTCTATTATGAAATCGTAGTCTTTTTTTTTGTAGGTAAATGATACAACGTATATCATATTTCAGCTATTTTATATACGATGATGAGTTCGACCTTTTGTATGCTAACATATTGTCGTTTATAGTCAAAATTTAAATGAGCATTTTAAATTTTAATAGAGAAATAACGCAGTTATTCTATAAATACGAATGAAATATTTGAATTTCAACTATTTTATAAAAATTGTTTCTCTCCTATTATAAATGGTTCAGCTATCAACAAAAGACTGAGAAAATTTTGATACTGATCGGAATTATCTAAGATGGTTCTATCTAACAAATTTCGTCTCTTATTCGAAAATAAAAAGTTTCAACAAAAATCTGCTGAATATAGAAAAAACTGAATACCAATAAAAATGAACTAATCTATAAACAATAAAAAAAATTATCCTAATATAAATGTGTTAGTCCAAGAATTATGCTTGTTCGTCAAGTTATCACAGATAGAAATAATACAGTAATATGAATTTTATTATTCAATCTAATAAATTGTGTAATTTATATTTGCTGAACATTGTCATTATATATTTTAAACTGATGTAGCTGAAGATGTTAAATGATAACGATGACGTCTTCGATCGCTAAGCAGATTCAATAAACGATTATAGAAATTAATTAATTTTGCATTAAAAACTGCCTGATTACGACTATAAATATTTAAGTAAATACCAACGACAACAATGAGTCCTGACCAAATATAATCGAGGACGAAAGGTTTCGAAAATATTATAAATGATAGAATAATTGTAATTGCTTTCCGACAAGTTGTTACTGTAACGGCAATTAATGCACCATATTCTCTTACTAGTGTTAATACAACGTCTATTCCAAGATAACCAAATATAGAAAATATCAAACTGTATCCATATGTTTGAAGTGGATGCTGAAATAGATGATGTACAATGATATGATAAAAAAAAATTACACAATCGTACAAGAGATTTACTTGATTCCAGAATATCACAGATGAATATAAATTATTTGTTAAAATTAAGCCCATCAGGATAAAAGCAAATCCAAATATAAATGAAAAAAAAACCTAAAAATATAAATAAAAATATGAATACTTTCTTCTCTATTTTCTCTTTTTCGTGCAGGAAACTCTGTGTACGTACAACTTCAATATTTGAAATATGAAATTGTTTCATAATTTTTTCTTGATAATTTCCTATAGCCGCATCAGCACACAAAGCACCAGAAATTAGTAATACACCTGAAATGAAATGAATTTATGAAAATAAATAAATAAGCAACTTGAAGAAATCGCTAATTATACCATAATAATTAAAGTTTGGTTGAACTTTTGAATCAGCCAATGTAAAAAATATCAAACCAAGACTCATACATATGGCAGCTAGTACATCGTATCGATTAAATGTTTTACCTATATTTAGATAGCTTCAATTATAAAATTTTCAAATATTCAATTAGTAATTAAGATTTTTCTACCTTGAATAATAATACCACCGAGTAAAACAGGAATCAGTTTGCAACATTTAAACATGACTTGTGTGGGATAATTTAGATAAGCTGAAATGTTACAAAAATTAGTCAATTTTCAAATAAATAAAGAATGACATGTATGTACCAACAGAATAATTTGATAAACCTATTGTTCCAACTGTTAACAAGGCTAATATGATATAGGCGTTGTAGGTTGCTCTAAAAAAATGTAAAACATATCATCAATACCAAAAAAAACTAAGATAATTCATTCAATTTTTTACTATTGTATATAATAATTAACCTTTTATTGACTATACCAGATAGTCCCAATTGAATGACGGACAAAACACTATAAACAAAAAATTGATAACACGTCAAAAACCAGGCGGTATCATTGAAACCATGTAAAGTGAAAAGTAATTCCTATTAAAATAAACAAAATTTATTAATTAGCTAAGAATGCCGTGAATCAAACATTGTTCTAATAATTATAGTTCTTAATTATTAATTAATTATAGTCCTTCTACAAAATAAGATGTTTCTCAAAAAGGAAACGAGTTATTGTTGTAGATATACGAAAATTTTAAAATAGTCTCAAAAGAACGATTTGTAGATAATCTGAAAAACGGATAAGAAACGACGAAATTGAATGTGCAAATTACATCGTTTTGATGTTCATTCTACGATCACAATACAAGATTTCTTTTAGAAAGAGAAAAATATTGCTTGCATTACGTGGAATGGTTGTTCCATAAAGAATAAAGTTAAGTACCTGCATGTATCCATAAGCAAGATAATATACAAATACACATGTGCATAATATAATAAATCGATATGAGGAATCGGTATATAGAAAAGGTGGAAGCTTTGAGGTAAAAATATAAGATTTTAATGTTTTCGTCATCATCGTTGTTGTTGTTGTTGTGGATTCATTCGCTATCATTCTGGTAGTTTGTGAGAACAAATTTGGCCGATATAGAGTTTCAATTCCTAAATAGAAAATACTGTTCGATATATTCAAATAAGTAAATACAGAATTCATAAAATTTAAACTATTCTCTCTCGTACAGAAAAAATATTCCGGATCAACTTTTTGTTGACAGAAAATGCACCTAACACTTTACACTACTCGGTACTGCTCTGCCGCTCCTTAAATTTACAGATGTTAGTATCGAATTTTGGTTGATGACGAGACTAATGGGGAGTATTCTACAACACACTACAACCAAATAACTTCAGTCATCATCCACTAATTACTTTCATTGCCAAGTTTTACCGCAAAAGAATAGCTGAAATCTAATAATTATTTATCAGTGAAGTATCCGCGTATGAACAATAAATGCTAGAAAAATTATCAAAAAAGTGATACTCTTTTTCTAAAATACACGATTAGATTTATATACATGCGGGGAAAAAATGTAATAAATTTTGCGTGTCATCTGTGTCAGTTCGCCTCTTCAGTGTAAAAACAATCTGCATCTTTATCGCCGACCCTAACGACATATGTTCTCTTAGTTGATTATTTTATTCCCTCATTTAATGCATCCAATCTACAAGCTTTTATAAAAGAAAAATTTGAATATAAATGGTTTTCTTAGTATCAAGGATAATTTTTCTGATCTTAACGCGTTTTCTCAGCTGTTATAAACATATCGAAATTTATATTGATAATGGATTAAATAAATTTGAAAATAAACAACTTCAATTAACACAAAATATACTCTTTACAATAATAATGTAAATTATTTAAAATGTTTCATTTAATCAAGAGTTGGCCAACTCTGACTAAGGTCAATTCCAATAAGAACTTATCTTATCTTGATCCGTTTTCTTCTTTACTTCTTAGCAGCTATTTCGTTTTTGTTTACAAGAGCACAAAAACAAGGTCATTTTGACAGCGTACTTTTTTGGGATTCTACATCGATGAAATCGGAAAAGAAAATCACTCTGTGAAAACACTCTTTCTACCAGCACTGACATGGCAGACACGCATAATAATTTTAGAGAGAGCTAATTTACTTAAAATCGGATATACTGTCTTTTTTTGACAAATAAGTGAACTATTTTCACTTTCTTTAGAAGTTGTAAGAATTTTGAACTGGAGTTGTGGAGTTAGAGTTGAAAAAATCTAAACTTAACTCAACTCCAACTCAACCCCGATCCCACTAAAAAGAAGCTCAACTCCGAAGTTGCCCATTGCTGCATTTAATCAATATAAGATGAATTTTTAAAAAAAAGAAGTAAAATATGGTGGAATAAAAACAGTTGTATCACAGTAAAGATAATTTATATATAGTCTCAATTTGATGTGATTTTATCTTTCTATTAATATTTATTGCATGAAATTAGATTATTATGAAATAAAAACATTTGACTTGTTAAAAACATAGATGAAAATGGAAAATATATTTGTTGAAAATGAAAATTACGACATTCCGTCATCAAGATAAAAGGTCAATTAACGGTATTTTCACAGTCATGACGATCTATCGATGATGAAAAATGAATGTTCTTCAAATAGAAGAAATTTTGATGAAGACATGAATATTAGAAATCATTCTAATTATCAATACCATCATGGTTATAGTAAAAAGAAATGGTAATAATTATTAAGAAGACAACAGTGGCTGTAGTAGATGATATACAAATAGAAGTCGATCATTGTTTTTTTGTTCTGGTTATGAAGACTAGTGTAATTGTTTATATTGTCTACTGAATGCCATTGTAACATTATACTCAGCGTATATTGAAGAATATCAAGTATTTTTAAATATCATTTCAATAGTATCTCGAATGAGATTTAAATAAGATCTGATTGACAGGAATAAAACTTCTAGTATTGTGTACCAAAACTAAAGTACTCAACTATTAAACTGGTTATCTACTTCTCTCAATAAGATAAATATGTGCCACTGATATTCCCGTTAGAGTTTGTCTCAAAAGATAGAAAATCGTGCCTTGAATTGGATATCAATACAGTAGATATTTAAACACATGTGTCTCCGTGTGTATTACTTGTTCTTCCTTGTACAAAATAAAATTATTTTCTGAAGAACGCTGACAAGAATTAGAAAAAAGGGAGAGTATGGATAGGGCTGCGGTGAAGAAAAAAAAGCAGGTTGTAGTGCAAGTTTTTTGGGAGTACCGTAGCAGCTCTTTAGAAGAATTAGGTTTTTCTTTGCTGCTTGCTGCTATCGTCTTCTAAACAGACTTTATCGTCGAAAAACACGGGAGAAAGCCTTTTGCTTGGGAGAATAGAGTAAAATCAAAAGGCATGCGTGATGTATACTACACTTATCGCCATGGGGCTGAGTACGACTTTTAAATAAACCTTGTTGTTTTTCGTACATACTGAAAAATTAATAAGTAATAAAATTATGAAATATTACTTATGATAAAATTTTCATCAGTAATATTTTACGAATGATCTGTTATTTATTAAATTAGTTATAATGAGAGAGCATAGACATTAATCTAAAACAATTATTTGATCAATTAAGAGAAAAACGTATGTAAACGATTTATTTATAAAATTTGATGCCCAGTAGAAAGAAAGTATACTTCTAAAAGTTTTATCGACCTTTATAAACCTGAACCGTGGCAGAAGACTCACCGAATGTTTCAGCTATGAAGATAAAAAGGGATTGTCACAAATGCATTAAATAATTTAAACTTATTCTCAGATAAATTGCACAAATAGATTTAGACGTCATACTAGAAGTGTATTAAAATATCGTAAGATTTTTTTTTAATGTTTACATCTGGAATCACTATACTGAAATAAACGTATGAAATAACTCACTTTAATCATGAGTAATAGGAACGACCATTAAGAAACGAAAGTTAAACAAAAAATTATGAAAAATTTGATTTGTTACTACATTTCGTTGATTAATATTTGCAATACATTCTAATTCTTGATTAAGAATAATCACAATGTGATTCTCAGGCCTAGAGCTGAAGTACACTCATCCGTTTTCTTTTTCCTCCCGAAATGTATTTTATTACATGGTTTGTACATTTGTTACCTGTATTTTTTCCTCTTCTTATTCGTGGATATTAGTCAATATAATTATTTCACTTTATTTCGTCTTTATTTGATATAATATTACATCAATGTTTGTAAAAACAATACAAAAAACGCGCATTTTACTTTAACAAAAACCTAGCGGTTCGCGTTAATGAACATAAGAAACTACAAAAGCACGAGTAAAGATCAAATAAATACAGATCTTAACATCCACATATCATAAAAAGACAACAGAAAATAAATTCATGTTTTTGAACTTTTACAGGCGTCATGTGATCGTAGAACTAAAGTTTAAGAAAAAGAATGACAATGAACAGGAGTAAAAATTGGCAGTAATCTATTCATGATCGATAGCAAATTGTGCTCTCTTCAGTGGTAAGAACTAAAGACGTTCAAATTTTATTTAACGGAAAAAAAATCTTAATAGATAGAGGCACAAATATGAAAATGTATGAAAACTTTATAAATATAGAGATTATAGACGAATAAGTAGAATAAAACATTCATTTACAGTTTGTTCCAACCTAGATTTCTTAATAGAACCATTCTAAATCTGTAAATCACAAAACAAAACGACATCTTGACTGTACTTGTGTATTGCATAGAACAGATAAATAAACGCTAAAAAAAACAGGTGAATGTTCACTATGGCTGGAGTCAACTAATACTTTTGCACGTTAGTGAGAAAAACGAACAGTAACACAACATATATATATATATTTTTTTTTTTTCTTTTTATAAATATTGTTTCAAATTTTTTTGCAGATTTTCATTTATCTAGTTACAAAACATCGAAATAAATTCATTCTATCAACCAGAAAAAGTACTCAAATGTTCCAACGGAAAGAAAATAAAGTGTATCAGCAAAAACAAACAATAGTTTAAGAAAATCAACTCTGAATAAGAGTGATAAGGAATGAATGATTACAAAGTCCTGTAAAGTCTAATGCTGATGGAGAAAAAATCGTACTGAGCTAACTAAAAGTGAATATCGTCCAACAACACGACATAACACATCTTCAAGCACTATTCGGGATATATAAAATCTTGTAATTTTTTTCATCTTCCTAACAATCTCGGAAAAAATACTTTATTCTACTATTGTCTTTAACGGAAAGATACATTGCTTTAAATTTGAATCTCTCAATTAAAACAATAGAAGTAAATAAACAAGTTCAACCGGCATTTTTCAAGATCTATCATAGACAAACGTAGAAACAGTCGGCCTAATGACTATTAAAAAATAATCTAACGGCCTAAGATAGCTGCGGTATACAAAACAACAATAAAAAACAGACAAAAAAATAAGCACAACATAAATAGCTATGAAATACATTTATATGAAAAAAATGTTCAATACCCAGATAAAAATGCACATATATCAAACATCAGTCGGAAGGCTTTAAATCGACAATAGATCATGTACATTATGAACAACATAACAGATGCTAATATACATCAATAACAAAATGAGAATAAAAAAATTTATTACAAATAGCATATGACAGAGAAAACAAATTTTCGTTTCTATGGTCTTTCTTAGAATGGCGTTAAAGAAAAAAAATATATATATAAACACAATATGTAGGTCAATAAGACCATTCTCTTCTTCTAATTCACTGTGTACGGTTTTTGTTCAATATAAGTAAAAAAAACAAGAGACTATATACAAAAAGAGATCTTCAGTTGATACCATCGGTGCGTGCACAACGAGAAACATTTAACAATAAAACTTTAAAGCAATGACGAAAATAAACATTAATTGTTTATGAGTCAACAAAACGAAAAACGGCTAGTAGACAATACAACAAAAATACATACGTTAAAAATGTAGCAAAAAACAGAACATATATAAATAAATAGGGTGAAATACAGCACAGACATATGCACTCTAGGTGAAAAAAACTTAGTGACATAGTGTTCTTTGATGTGGTTGTTGAAGAGCACGAATACTATTCGTTCCTCGTGTGTGATGCAGAGTCGAAATGCTTTTTTGTGAACGTTGAACAAACGGTTGTTCATCGTTTTGTTTACTTTTTGTTTTTGATGATGATTTGCGATTATGAATATGAGTTCGACGACGATGATAGTGGTATAATGAAGACGAGATGGATGTGGATGTATCAGATGCGTTTAATTTCGATAAATGACTAGAAATATCGTTATTTGATGTGGATGATGATTTTGACAGCGAACGATGTTCGTTCGTAGAACTTTGAGAAACCTAAATTTTTAGAAAATATTAAATATCCATGTATAAAAGCTTACAAACAACATCTGACAAAGGATTTTGAAGAAAAGAAGTTGAAAAAAGGTTTAGATTCAATATTCAAGAAAGAGTATGAAAGTATTTTAACCTTACCTGTATAGAAAATGTTATATCACTTTTGTCATCCGGTTCCTGTTGACTATCCACATCGTTTTCGTTAATTGGGTTTTTATTTTCTACTTTCCTTCGTCGACGAGGTCGGGTGATTTGCTCATATACTGACATACCTTGAATATATAACATTGATTTTGAAGAAAATAGAACAGATCCATAGTATTTATTACAATCCATTACTGCTATTGTAAGAATGTATCCCATATTTTTAGAGATTTTAAAAATTTTCCTTCGTTTAGTGTACTCACTCGGATGCTCAATTAATAGATTATCAATTGGATTAAGCGGAATGGATGCTTGTAATGCTACTGGAACACTGAGTGGTGGTGTAGCAATCCAGCTGTTATGCATTTCGTCCGAATCGAGTGTACAGGACATTTTATCAACAACACGATTTGTTACAACACCTAAAAGAAATAGAGATAGGATAGAAGTTTGTTCAATGTAAACTTCAATCAGTTAACTAATACCATTATCACCAACGAGTACCCAGTCGTCTTCAACAAAATTTGTAGATGAAAGTCGAGTTTGTTTTTTAAACGTTTGTGCATTCATCGACGAAGGCCAGAATGAAGATAATACTTTGTACATCTTATCTACAAAATAGAAAAAAGATAACACACAGATAACGATAAACGTATGATTGTATATACCGATGTGAGTTAACTTATTCGATGTCAGTAATCAGATTAAAAGTAAGTATAGATAAATAAATATAGAACATTCTATTAGTTCATCCATGATGTCTGCGTGACTACAGAATAATTATTAAACTTGTTGTTCTCCTAAATAAATATCACAGGTGTATATCGCACGTTATAGATCTGTCCAATCAAATTATATGACAGAAAATAGAGTTTTCTTTTGTTCACGTACCTTCAGTCATCTCCTCACCGTGTGTCCCCTTGTTTGATTATTTCTTTCTTTTCTATATAAGTAAGTAATCTGAAAAGAAAATATAGATATGTACAAAATAAATGTTTGTATCGATTTATGTATTTTTAAGATTAAAAAACTATTTAAAAAAAAATTATGATGAAAAGATATATATCCAATAGTATACAGTTTTTTTCTAGCTATATTCTGAGGTAGAGAATATATAGATTTTTTTGTGCTGCAGAAAGAGAAAAGAGAAAATTTTATTTTTTACCTGCAGATTGTTTTTGACAGATATATACTGTTCTATAAAATACTCAAGTCATATGCTCACTAAATCAATGAAAAGATAAGAATGTTCCTCCGTTTTGAATCAAGAAAAAACACCTCTCTACATCTATGCACTGAGAGTAGCGCCCACCCGTTTTATAAACATCCTACAGTCAAGATAAACTGAAATGAAAACCACGCCAATACTTTCTATATACGCACATAGAAAATATTGACGTCATTTTCATTTTAGTATAGTCTATCTTGACTGTATACAACAACGTCGATACAATACGTGGGAGAAGATTGAATTAAATTATTTCAAATAAAAGAGCTCTCTTTTCTAAACGTAATAATAATCTTACATTTTTGTGATGCTGTAGCAAATAGTTTTGTCACATTTCTTTTAGCAACCAGTCTCCTTTTCTTCTAAGTTAATAGAAGAAACCCTCTTTCAACGATTCGTTTGAGTGGTATATCAAAAATTCAAAAAAAAGTTAAAATAGACTTTCATTTTTAAAAAAGTTTTTAAGATCGTTAACTAGAGTTAATAATCAACTTCTTGAACATAGGCTTTTTGAATTTAATTAGAGAATCCTTCTTCCCATTTACAGAAGACTCAAATTGAGTGTTGCCAGTTTGAAGCTCCTTCTAACTGAAGGAATATTTACTCTGTTTTCAAACTTAATCATACGGTGCTTTTTTATTCATTTAATGTTGGACTGGTGTCTGTATTGAATAATGTCATTAAGATGATTTGTTGATTGAGCAAAGAAAACGTTTTATATACAGAATACATTATCTCTCCACCTCTTCTATGATAATTTTAACAGTCTAATTTATAATTTTGTCATATTAGTCTTAATATATCTATTCCGCATAGCCCTTTATTTTTGCCTGTGCTGTTATTCTTTTATAATTTTGTACAATAAAAATATCAATGCAAACATTTTCATATACTGTTGTATTATTGTCTACCATTTTAAAAATATTCGAATCACTTGAAATTATTCAAGTAAATTATCCAAATGCAACAGTAGAAACTTCAAACAGCTGGATCATTCATGATAGTATTAATGAAGGTTTTATTATTGATTGTGGATGTTATTGGCTTCATGGTCTACACATTGCAAGAACTTGGCGACAACATTTTGCACATCCAATTTTACCGAAATTTATAATATTGACACATACTCATCCCGATCATTTAACTGGTCTTGTTAGTTTACTTCTCGAATTAAATGTGACTCGATCTGCACAATTACCAGTATATGTTTCATCTCAAGGTGATCTAACAGAAATGAATCACTGGCTTGATGTTTGGCGAACGATAAATCCATTTGAAAATAGTGTTTTATTCGATATCAGACAATCTCCAGCAAGTTTTTCTTATAATAATTATGTACGTGTTCTCGATCGGCCAATTAAAATATTTGATAGTGAAGACAGTGTTGTAATAATCGGTGGTTTTCTAGCAGCAGAATCACTTCAGACGACTTTGTTGTTTGTTCCACCATTAAATGCACTCTTTACAGGAGGATTAGTAGCAGTAAAAAGTCATTTATGGACGAATATTTTCTTACCACCGTATAACACGTATCCTGGCTCTGATCAACACATATGCAATTGGATCGGTGCTCTTCGATCAATTCAATGTGTTTTTCCTTCAACAACCGTCATTTATCCTGGTTATGGACTATCTGCATCGGATAAGGCTGGAATGTCGTTTAATGAAGTAATTGACACAAATCTAAATTGGTTGATCTCTATGCGAAAACTGGCATTTAACTCATGCAATAAGTCATTTGTAATGGAAAAACTAATGAATCTTTTTCCTAATTTTACGATGGTAGAAGCGTCATATGCGTCTCTATCTTCTCAAGTTCCACTATCGGCCATCGGTCTTGGATGCAAATGCAACGGAAATATGCCAGATGTTTGTGCCGGTCTCGTTCCTCCTACATGCCCGTTTGTACCATATACAAACAAATCACTGTCTTCGCAAACAACACAATCCATTAGTTGTATGCCAGAAAATCTCAAACGTTTATCGAGTGATGCAAGAAAAATGTCACTTGAATTTCTTGTGTTCGCTATTGCCACTGTACAGTCAATTTTTAAAGTTAGATCGTTTTCATAAAATGTTCAATTTCTTTAGAAGAATTATAAGAATGGGTTCACTAACAATTAGTTTTTTCCATACTCATAATAGTACGCCATAACGATTTTGAGATTGTGTTGGTCACTTGTTGTACACACATATCTTCTCTAACGACTTAAACACAATTTGATCAGCAAATGTGATTACAGAGTTATACATAGACTTCATATATTAGATACAACAGGTCAAATGAAATAGAAAATTAACAAATCTAATTGCCAACTCGTTCAACTGTGCAAATATTTATTCCGAGAATTTGTCAAAGAAAAGTCTATTCTTTAAAGAAAATACTTTCATAATAAAAAAAAAGACACTTCTGCATTCGTGAAAAATCTATATTGATGAAAATTAGAAATATCCACATATGCATAAAATTGTTTCTAATCAGATAGGAGGTAGGTAAATATACTATTTGTTATTAGTTAAAATTTTGACCGTAATTTATATGAACTATGCGTTCTCGATCAATTAATAATGATCAGTATATAGTCAATTATTATATTCACACAGTTTGCACTCTTATGTTTAAAACCTCTATAAAAACTAAAAGATTTTGATTATAATAAAAAGATATTTTGAAAATTAAAGGAATGATCATAAATAAGTAGAACGAACATTTAAAGTTGGTTAATCTTGTATACCTTGCTGTAGTGGAATGAGCGATACCTTCATTATGTTCAGCAGGTTTTACAAGAAAACAAAAAGGCATAAGGTTCGATGGTGTCACAAAACCACCTGTTAGGGTTTGTTAAAGAAATTCTATTTTTTATTTCTCATGTGTTTAGGTTGTATGTAACATTTACCCTATTTTAAGAATTTGTGGCAACTTGTGCTATTAGAATTCACTAAATTCTCAATTTTTTATTTGATTTTGTTTTTTGATGTATAATCGAATGGTGTGTAATGGGTCGTGAAAGATATTTGCTCTTTAGCAAACAATATATTTTTTTTGCAGTATCAAACATGACAGCAAGAACAATAAACATAATATACGTTGATATAAAAGTAAGTTTATATAACAATGATTTTTGTAATCGTAAAGTGCACCTGACACATTAGTATTTTCTAAAAATGTCACAATGACTCTATGCATAGATGAACAAGCCTAAGTCACGACTTGAGTCGCATTTTTCATTGATTCATGCTCGAAATCGGGCTTGGAGCGAAAGACTCCATAAACTCGAAAAACTGACTTGAGTTAGTTTTGAGTTAGTCATGTGAAACTTATGAGCCGTTGCACGGTAGGCACGACCTCAGCTGCTCAACTGATGTTCAGTTTTCCCAACCAAAGTTTCACAGTAGGTAGCGTCAACACATTTAGGAAGGTTCCCACAACGTTTTGACTAGATAATGCTTCCTTTTGGACTTACAACATTTTACCGCTAAAAACAGCATGTGTCGAAAAGTGCATTTTACAG